CGCAGGTGTCTGGGGAGCCGCCGTCAGCCAGGAACTTCTCAACGAGGCGGAGCTGGCCCCGCACGGCCGCCCGCAGGAACATCTCCGGCACCACCGCGGCATCCTGCCAGGCAGGGGGACATGGGACTCCTACACCCCAGGACCCCGCCCGGAGGGTGCTGTCCTGACCCCCAGGCCCCACTGGGCTCTGGCTCAACCCCAGCCCCTTACGAGGTCCTCGGGCTCCGGCTCGGGTGCCGGCTCGGGCGTGGCGGCCCGCTCCTCCCGCCGGCGCCGGCGCTGCTTGCGCAGCTCGATGAGGTGCTGGATGCCGCCCACGTCGATGATCTCGCGCCGCAGGTCCACCGAGCTCCTCCGCACCCGCTCCTTCCCCTGCACCAGGAGGGAGGGAGTGGGGTGTCTGCCTGGACCCCTGCCTCGTGGTGCTTGGCCAGCAGCGGGCTTCTCTCCCCACTCTTGACCCTGCCCCGGGCTCCCTGCCCCCGGCCGCCACAGCTCCTAGAGAGCCGCCGGCCGGGACGAGGGGCCAGCCCAGCTGCGCCCCCCGCACCCCACTCACCTTGAGGACGGCGATGCCGAGGGGAAGGGCCCCCCGGTGCTTCTCATCCTCCAGCTCCTGCACCTCCATCCGCACCAGCGCTGGCAGCTGCCCAGGGCTGCTCTGAAGTCCAGCACAGACACTCTCAGCCCCAGGCTTGGTACTATTGCCCAGGGAAGGGCCATCGGGGCTAGCGCCAGGGCTCAGCCCGGCTCCGGCGTCCCCGGACTCGCCTGCTTCGCCGCCTCCTCCTGCGCCAGCCTCTGGTCGATGAGCTCCGTCGCCCATTTCAGGTCCTGCTCCACAGTCGCCTCCATGGCTCCGGCCCTGGGCACCGCCTGCCCTGGCGCTGGGAGCTGTGGCGGGTCCTCGCTGCTGTGCCCGCAGCTGCTCGGCTGCTCCAGACTTTATGCGGCGCCCAAGGGACAGGTGTGCCCGCCCCGTGACCGTGACCGGGGGCTTTTGTCATGAGCTCACCGGCCACATTCTCCCCGGTCACCTTCCTGCAGCCCTGGGCATCGCCCTTAAAGGGCCCCAGGCACAGCAGGGGGACCTAGGGAAGCTCCGGCCTGTGGTGTGGGCAGGAGCCAGAGCCACCGCACTGGGGCCGCAGAGCACTGGAGCTGGTCACCCCCTGCCCTGCGGCAGCCCTGGGCCCATCCCAAGCCAGTGCCCCAGGGCAGCTCCCGATGCCCCTGGAGCTGGGGTCCTGCTCCATGCCGCACGTGCTGCTCCCTCCGCGCTGCTGTGGCAGATGATGTCAGGCATTGGCACGTCCGCCAGCCCCCAGGGACGCGCTGGCCAGGCCCCAGCCTGCCTGGAATAACTCGGGCAGGAGCTATTCCTGTCTCTGTGCACCGCGCGCAACCCCGCTGGGACCAGAGGAGGGGGCAAGGGAGGTGCCACAGTCATCACCGCCCAAGGACCACGAGGCGGGCACGCTCCAGCCTAGAGCCTGAGGGTGACCTTTGACCCTTCCCTTCTGAGTTCACGGGAGGTTGCTGCCTCGGTGTGCAGTGGCAGTCCGTCCCCCAGGTCCTGCACTGGGAAGGCGACAAGCTGTGTGCCACGAGAAGCCGGGGTGGGGGGCACCAGGCAGGGAGAGTGGAGCACGACCCCCCACCAGCAGCCCCGCGCAGGCGTGTGCCGGCACGCACAGGCGCATGCTCGCTGCAGCCCTGGGGCTGAGGACAGGGCGCTTGGAAGAGCAGAGCCAACAGGAGCCAGGAGCTAACCAGCAACGGGGAGGAGCCGGGCACAGGACCCCCGGGGGTAACATGGCCTTGGTGCCACTGCCCCCGTCACCATCCAGCATCCCCGCAGACCGCCGAGCTGGGAAGGATTTATTGATAAATACAGAGTACGGACGCGGCGGCCCCGGCCCCGCGGGCGCCCTGCACCGCGGCTCCCGCTGAGTCTCCGCTCCAGCACGAGCAGCACAGTCCAAGGGGGCTCAGGCAGGGGGACCCCGCCAGCCCCCGCGGGC